TTAAACAAAATTCATATGAATGTATAAGATAAATGTCATGTGACGTCGGTCCTGTGAAAAAATAATACTTTTTTGCTTTCACTAACTTTTAAAAAATGTTTCTGTGATGCTTATAAAAGTTGTATGTATAAGAATCAAAATGCTTGTATATAGAGTCAAATTTACAAGAATCAATTTATAGGCTAGTTACAAAAAAATGAAATTTTCATGCATAAAATGTTAAGATTAGAGAATTACATGGTAAGAAAATGAGGAAGAAGAAAACTATACACCTGAATACTGATGTCACATCAGTGACTGCTAAAGCATGTGATGCAAGATCTCATCATACATAGAGATCTTCTCATCCTGCGTGCAAGAGGGCAAAGGGCGTTTATGGGTCTCATATAGCACTGTTTAGGACAGATGCTGTTTTTCACACTTGCACACATAGACAATCTGTCCTGTGCAGTGGGCAGATGTTCGACCATGATGCCCTGTTCCTCATGCCCTTGAGTGACCTGGCAGAGAGGAGCTGTTCATGGAGATGGCAGATGTGATTGTAAAAGAAGGATGGAAGAATGCTGGATATGAGTTTGTGTGCATTGATGATTGCTGGCCCTCACACAAGAGGGACGCCCAAGCTTGCTCACATGTAGCACTGCCTATAACTGAGAGGATAGATCTCCTAAACAATTCTGTCATCATGTACTAGCCCTCATGTCATGTGAATGCCTTATGATATTAAGCGGAAAATAAAATAATTAATGGATTCCTCACACAAAGCTAACATGTGATCTTATAAAATGGCTTGATAGCTCTGGTTACTATCTGTATGGAATGAAGCAACATGGATATTCTGCTAATAATTTGAATTTAAATATTTTAATAATTATTAAATTACTTATTGTAATAAATCATATTTTTATTATTAAAATAATCGTATAAATATTTTAATCATTAATAAAGTTAATAAATCAATTATTAATTCATTTGACATCAGCTAAAAATATTTTAATAATTATTAAATTACTTATTGTAATAAATCATATTTTTATTATTAAAATAATCGTATAAATATTTTAATCATTAATAAAGTTAATAAATCAATTATTAATTCATTTGACATCAGCTAAAAATATTTTAATAATTACTATATTAATTTACTTTTATTATTAAAATAAATTATTACATATTTTATTAAAATATTTAATAATTTTAATAATAAAAGTTCATTAATAATTAATAATAATAATTAATTAATTAATAATGAATTTATTATCTTTATTAATGATTAAAATAATTGTAATCATTCATAAAGAATAAATTATTAATTAAGTAATAATTTTATATCAGTTAAAAATATTTTAAATAATTACTAAATTAAATATTTAAATAAATAATTACTAAATTAAATGTAAAATAATTACTAAATTAATTAAATAAATAGTTTTAACGAGTAATTGAGTAATTAATTTGTATTCAATAGCAGAAAAAATTATGATTATGTACAGTACATTTTATTCCTTTAATGAAAGTGTTTTCATTTCCACATAAATTTAATTTCAAAGGTAAATCAGTACACACTTAACTTTTCATCAAACAATAACAATACTGAGAAATTATATTTTGTTGTCATTTAGAAATATGCCATAACTTGGCTTCTCCAAATATTTTGTGTCAGTTTTATATCGCCCCCTACTGTTGTCTTGCTGATATCACAATAAAACGACATTCTGTCCTAATGTAATACCACTTGTAATGAATATTAAAGCTTTATTGTGTTCTAAGGTCCATACCAAAGGTCTGGAGCTGGGAATATATGCAGATATTGGCACAAGCACATGTGCAGGCTATCCTGGGAGTTTGGGCTACTATGACATCGATGCTAAAACGTTTGCAGACTGGTGTGGATCTGTTCAAATTCGATGGATGCTTCATGCCTGACTGGCATCAACTGGGAGAAGGTAGGTCAATATGCAAGTCTCAGCAGTATGCCGATACGTTTTGAATTGCTGAGTTTTGCTAAGGAATGCTTTACATTATTTTGATGTTTCTCAGGTTATACAAACATGTCGAGAGCTCTAAACCAGACAGGCAGAAGTATTGTATAGTATACTCCAGTGAATGGCCATTAACACCAACAGGTGAGACTCATGGAGATTTTTTTTAATTAACTTAAATAAATAAATCAAATTTTTAATATTTACAGTATATCATTTTTCACTTTTTCAACATGGCTGTTAAAGGGATAGTTAATCTAAAATGATGACAGAATGTAAATTTTTGGGTGCACTATCCCTTTACTTAGAATTTGAAATCATTTTTTTTTTTTTTAAGTGCAAATAGTTTTCTTAAATATTGCTTAGTTATAAAGTGTTTTGTGTATCTTATATGCCTTGTGCTTTATATATTTATTTTTACATTATCGCCTTATTTGTATATTTGTATAGTTGTATTTTGTATTTTGTATTTAATCTGTATTTATGTAATCTGTATGCACCAAGGGTCTGAGAGTAACGCAATTTCAATTCTCTGTGTGTATGTGCTGTACATGTGGAATAATTGACAATAAAGCAGACTTGACTTGACTTGACTATATTTCAGCCTGACTATGAGGCAATTCGCAAGACCTGTAACCACTGGTGTAACTATGGAGACATTTATGACCAGTGGACCAGTGTGAAGAGCATCCTGGACTGGACAGCTGATCATCAGAAGATCCTGGTCCCAGTGGCAGGACCAGGTGGATGGAATGATCCTGACATGGTATAAAGCATCTCATCTGAAAATTGTACTCTCAAATCGCAAGTTCACATTGGGTAATTTAAAATAAGCTTAATGTAAATGAATTTGAATCATATCATATTTCTGGTTATGACGTCTCAAGCTGATCATAGGGAACTTCGGCCTGACCCACGATCAGCAGCAGAATCAGATGGCCTTGTGGGCTATCATGGCTGCCCCACTTCTGATTTTCAACGACCTGCGGAAACATTTGTCCAAAAGCCAAAGAACTGCTGCAGAACAAACAGATCATTGCCATCAACCTGGATCCTCTGGGCAAGCAGGGCTATCGTACATTAAAGGTAAAGTATCTTAGCCCAACTTAGTTCCAAATGACGGTCTTAACCTATCCTTTGTTTTATTACGGTATCTGTCAGCGAGCTGGAATACATTTATCTTGTTCACAGGGTGACAGTTTTGAGGTGTGGGAACGACCCTTGTCAGGCAACAGGCTAGCCGTGGCAGTGATGAATAGACAGGAGATTGGTGGTCCACGCAGATTTATCATTTCTGTGGCGACGCTGCCTAGTTGGCAGCTCTGCGACCCAAAGTGCAATGTAACACAGATCCTGCCTGTCTACAAGGAAATGGGTGTCCGAGGTGTTCAGAGGTGATGGTCCAAGTCAATCCTATAGGCACAACACTTCTCACTGTCAGCCCTATCAAAAGCAGTCCACATGACACCCTGTGACATGACTTGGAAAGCAAAACTGTCCAAAGAAATGGGAAATTTATTATTGCACTAATGTCACTGAGTTAAACTTACTGAGTGATATTTTTGTTAGGACTTTTTTCCCCTTTTAAATAATGCTGTAGAATCTTTTTAAAAGTGCACACTAAGGAATCAAAATTCAAAAAGTGTAGTAACGTACAATTTTACTGTACATAAAGCATTCACAAAGCACTTTAACTCTAAGAAATACAGAGTTCATACTTTACACACCTGTATTACCTATGTTTTAATTTCACTAAAGATGTACTGTATTACAGAAACCTATAACATTCATCCATCATCTGTTCCACTTCACAGTGAAGACTTACAATGTGTTTAAAGGTTGCACTGCCAAATAACTTTTTATTTGAACATACATAAAGACCCTCAGAGATTTTACAGATCATTTGGCAGTTTATGTCTTGTTCTGAAATGAATATAATTGATCTGAAATCAAATTAAGCATCAGTGCTACTTTTGCATTACTATAATGTGATACAATGTGGCACATTACACTCAATATATTAATTAATATGCTTTTGAAGCTGTATTTCATATATCCATCCCTTCAGTCTCTTTCTCCTGTTCTTACAAACACTGGTCAGATTGGCATAAAACACAAGTTGACCAATAACAAGATTTTCTGTAGCAACAAATGTCAAATTCTAATAAATTATATATTTATTCTGTGGCAGAAATTACATGTTAATCTTGTTAAATAGACACAAAACAGTAAAAAACGTGTAATCGTGATATTTAAATAAATTTTAAAAGTAGTCCAATGCCTTTTCAAATATGAGTTTGTTTTAATAACAAAGAGTCATAAATATAACAAATATGAATCAATGGTGACATTTATTGTACAAAAAAAAATCTAGCATTCTCTGCTACAGTTCATGAATGCATTGTAATAGCGCCACCATCTGTTTTGGAGGCACATGACTTGTTTACATTGTGGGTCAGTGGGTTCATTCTTGTCATCCACACATGCATGAATTGCAGCATATGACCAATATCCATCTGAAAGTTGCTGAATTTTGCATATTTTGCATCATTTTTCATATGTTGTTGGGTTGTATATGAGTGGTTGACATGTGAGAGCATGTAAAATCAAACCTTTGATTAGGTAAATTAACTGATTTTATTGGCAACAACACAGATCACATCCCAATTTTGTGTATTAATTTTAATATTTTGTAGGTTTAATTGGTGCTATAACTATTGAGAAACCATCTGTAATGGTCATATTTATCAAAAGAGTCAGGCAGGCTTTGAACTAAATGATTTGAATTAAACACATTCAGCCTTCTCAAACAGTATACCAAACTGACCTGTATGCATTAGGTCAGGTGCATGCAGCATATGTGAGTATTAACAGGTTGCATGAAACTGTTAACAGCAGCCCTGCATGAGCGACAGTATGAAAATGAGCAGGAAGCAAAAGGGGAACTGAGTAACAAGAGTCCTGTGGCTGGGTGGAGTTTTGTCCACTGTTGATCACATTCACAGTCCAATTTAATAGCCTGCACTCAGTCAGACTGGTTTCATCCTGGTGCCAGATCACAGTGGGAAAAAACAGAGCTCAGGTAAGATTTCTTAGATTGCTTTAATAATTTATGACTGGAGTGCCACTGTCAAGGACTAAGACTGTAATTTGCCATTAGCTGTGACGTAGAATAATGCTGTTGCTTAAAAGATACAAAGTGACAAACTAAAGCAAACAACTTCAGTTATTTAATAGATGGGAACATGCTATATAGAGATTTTAATGTAACAGAGAGAGAGAGAGAGATATACTCCTTGATAAATGGCTTAACTAATCAATTTAAACTCTTGTTTCTGGTCTGTACAAATGCTGTTTTGCCATCCTGATTTAAAGTCATACAGGTAAATCAATATTCCAACATTATTACATTTTAATTTTATAAAATTTTGTAAAACTATCTACAGGAACACCACAAAATACACAACAATATATTAATAACAGCTTAAATAAATTAAGAAAAATGTATGTACGAAAATAAGAATGCATAAGTAAAATAATAATTATTACAAGAAAATTACTTATTACTTGTTAATAAATTGCATAAGGGGGGTGGGGTCAACTCAACATTCCCGTACTGAATTAGATGGATCCTGTATACAAATCTGGCTCATAGAAGGAATAAATAAGGGACTAGTTTTGAGAAACAATTGTGCATTTACCTCCTAGAGTAGAAGAGTGTATATGCATTCATTTATAATTAACATACAGTGAAACTATTTGCACATGAAAACAGTCCTCTCCACTGGTTAGTCTACTTCACACTTTCCTTTTACTGTCTCACTCAATGATGTCAATGCATTTTGTAAAAACAGATCCGCACACTATACCACAGTGGTTCAAAGACACTATTGTAGGGTTGCTAGCATTATTAATGAGGGTCTTTTGCATATATAGAGTGCATTTATAGTTCTTTATGTAGCAGATGCTTTTAAAAGTGACTGTGGGAAAAATAAGTGATCAAAAAGAACAAGAGTAAGGCCATTTTCATTTTAGAGACACATGCTGCAGCAATGTCACCTCTTTCAGCCAGAATGTTCCAGTGTTTTAACATTGTAACCTAACATGGAAGATATAGGGGGACTAAATGAAGAGTTCAGATGCAAAAGCCTCTAAGTGCCATCTGATAGTTTCTTCTAAAATTAGCATTTTTATCAGGCTCCTATGTTTAGGTTCAGTAATTTGACTATAATGGCAATGTATAGATCCTTTTCTATGCCATTAAGGTGAAATAAATGACCATAAATATAGGAGTCTGATAAAAATGCTCATTTTAGATGAAAATTTCAGATGGCTTTTTTGCATCTGAACTCTTCAAATGTAAAAGTTTAGAAATCTGACATTAAAAACTCATATTTATCAACAATTATTCTGATCATTTGAGGGAATGGTCCTCTTCAATGTTTATGGTGATTATAGTCCTGTTTTAGCACTGGATCATGTATAAACATTTAAACAAATGTCCATACTCCTACACACCTTTGTGGACATCATGTTTGTAAGACTGGATGCACGACAAGATACAATCAGAAAAAAAAGTGCTTTGCATTTGTACATCACACAATGAAAAGAATCCATTTTGGTGGATCTCAGTGAAGTAATGCAAATTCAAATTCCATCAAATAACATTTACTGTAATATTCATCATCGTCTGTGGCATTTAGTAGACTACGTCCTGTTTTATACTAAAGTTTAAATTATTATTATAGATTTTCCTTTGTTAAACCTCTTCAGTAGTGCACGATTGAAAACAATAAGCATAATATTGCTTAAAATACTGCAATGTATATTTGCACTGTTGCATTTGACTTTAAATTTGCCAAGTGAATAAACATTAAAAATATGACGCATTGGTAAGAAACCACAGAGGTGTAGATAAATTGTGGTCTAATGCGGCAGACTATCTTTTGCCCAGTTCCCTCCCTCTGAACATGAGTGATACTCTCATACTTATCATTCAGGAACCTTACAGACACAGGACACTCTAGAAGGTTCCTGTTGCTCAACATTACTTTCAATGAACACAAAGAGTCAAATAAGCAACTATTTAAACTGTTAACCACATGGATTACTTTAATGGGTGTGCATGAGTTATTTCATGCTTAAAACACTGTCACACACATTATGTGTCATAAATGTATTTTTCTACAACGCTTTAATATTTGGCCTAAAGTCAAGACCTACCTGCCCTGCCACTAAGTATCATAGGAAGTTATGGTCTTCATTATGGCAGTATTTGGTATATCAACAAATTGTTACTGGTTACATTTGTGCAACATCTGCCTGGAAAAAAACCCTGATGTGAAACAGAGACAAGCTTAACAGTAATTATCTGACTCGTACTGCTTACTGATGCCGATACAAACAGTGTTTCCGCTTCCTCTGTATCACAGAGCAACATTGATGCAACTTCCCTGTGTCAAGTCTTATAAGTCATTGCCCTTTGAATAAGCTATCAAGCTTTCATGGTAAACAAGGCTGCTAAAATAGTCCTGAAATACCAAACCCACACCATTATCATCCAGATGTTTAATAGTGTGCGTTTAATACAGCAGTGACAAAGTCGCAACATAAAGTGGTCGATAATGTTCATATTTGTCACAGTTTTCATGTCAAACTTTTTGTGACAAGCTTTTGAAGGTGTTAAAAGTGGCCAGAAGAAACCAGGAAATGCTAGCATGGTGTTTAAAATAGGCAGTTCAGTTTCTCTACCACAGAACACAGACAACTCAGCATTTAATGACTATGCGAGAGAAGCTTAATGCGGAGGCACTGAAAGTAAAGAGGAACAGAACTAACTGAGATGTTATTTTAAAGGACACTGAGATACAGGTAACTTTGGCAAATGCTTCTCTGGAGTAAAACGTATATTTTAATTTTTACATTTTAATCAGAATACAAGAAAGGTATTTGCACATTAAGAAGAAATTAAGCAAAAAACAGACAACCTAGTAGGCTAATCTTTACTGCTTCATGTAAATGTATGAAGTTACATTAGGTTTGTATTGTAGAGACAAACCTAAAAGCTGTATTCAGTTACAATGTTCATGAACAAGGTCATTAAATGATTAACAAATGTTTTTTTTCCTCAACACATTCTTTCACATCAATTTACTGGATTCAGTGGGGCCCTTGTGATGTTGTTTAATGTTGAGATGTTTGGCCAAAAAGTAGTGTAAGGTTTTTGTTTTATATTGTTTACATATGTATTTCAACCTACAGTATCAATACTGAATAAAAATATTGTTCGTAAGACCTCTTGCTATTGCATTAAAATAAGACGCAGGCCTTTTGGGGGGAAGGGTGTAAACATTCAGTTTTGGTTTGTAGATAGTGAAGATACATGGGGAGATACAGTGAAAGGATGAGTGAGGTTGTGGGTTCACATCATAGACAAGAGCAGGAAGAAGTGTTCAAAGGAAACAGATGATCTACAGGAGGAAATATTGGCAACAAAGGATGCCATTGACACTGACAGCAGGACTCATGCAAACCATTCCTAATCATGCAGGCAAAGCCACCTAGGATCCATTAGACCAGAACAGACCTGTTGAAAAACTGGATGTAGCATACACGCTACCATTAGATACTAACATTTCGATATAGAAGAGGTTTTAAAAATCATTTCCCTTCAGCTTTCTTTATAAACATAAAGAGGAATCCCGTATTTAAAGGGGTCATCGGATGCAAAATTCACTTTTGTTGTTCTTTGATCATAAATGTGTGTTGGAAGTTTGTGTACACATCCACCCTAGAATGATAAAAATCCACCCAGTGTTTTTTTTAATCCCTATTTTAAAATCCCCTTTCTCAAATCAGGCTGTTCTGAGATTCCTGTCAGAATGACATAGTTCTGCACAGGCCCCTCCCACGATAGTTTGATGACAGTAGCGTCAATCTCAAAGTCTTACCCTAGCTCCACCCTGAGTGAGCTGTCATCAGTCTGCCATTGTGTCGACTCCGGTGCAGGGGAAGACAAGAATGTCTCCGATTAAGCAATTAGGGTTTGATTGTTGGATGTAATAATGAATATAGCAGTCGTCATTTACTCCAGACATCTAAGCCGCTGAAGACACAGGATTAACGTTACTTTCGTTTTGAAGGGAATGCGCCGATCCCTGCTTAAATGCGTCTATGTTCACGCGAATCATTCGTGATCCAGCTTCATCTACAGTAGAAGTGAGTATAAGGGTTTTTTATGAATCGTTGCGAATCACCTTTCCTAATAACGTGCTAGTTAGCAAGTTCCGTGGCTAAAGTAAACAGTATCATGAGAACGGCTCGTCACCCACGGAAGAGAGGGGCGGGTCAGCAGAGCTCATTAGCATTTAAAGCAACAAGGACTAGAACCGCGTGCTGAAAACAGAGCTGATTTTGACAGGGTAAAAAGGGTGTTTTTTACACTACCATTGAGAAATTTTAACCAAAGTATGTTATAGACTTTTCATTAAGACCCTAAAGAATCATATCAACTTGTGGAAAATGGGCATCCGATGACCCCTTTAACAAAACCAATATAGAGTTCAATCCCAAACCCATCACTCAAAGTTAACTAACAAAATCAAACAAGGAGACATGGAACATGTTCAACATAAGAGTTTGTCTTATTTCCCCCAAGTACACATCAGATATAAAAGAACATGCCAGACAGCATTCTGGAGGAGATTTTTGTAAAACGGTCCCAGCAGAAAAAGAAGACCTCACCTTTAAACTTCAAAGAAAGGCTGTTTGTACTCACGCAGGACAAGATATCCTACTACGACTATGATGCCGAAAAAGGGGTATGTATGAATTTGACATCATTTTCTTAGCGTAACAGTGGATGTTTGGAAAATAACATGGATGCAGGCATTCATTGAAGTCGGCATGAATTGGAAATTCACCCTATTTTCTAAATGCATCTTATTGAACTTATAGTGAATAATTTGTCCATGCATGTGTTTCTAACTTCTCCAATCATTTGGTCTACTTAAACCCCGCCCTTTTCTTACAATCGACTGCAAGCTCTCATTTAGATCTGCATCTGTCCAATCAAAACCTGATGGATAGAACAAAGTCCCCATCCTAATCTTTTTTAAACAAAATTTCTGATAATCCATTTCACTCGGATGTACGTCACAATAAAAAGAAAAGATATGTTGCTACTTGTTACATCGTTATTTAAACCACTGTTACAAGTTATTTCCAATATATTATAAGTTGTTTCCAATATTTTGTGATTTTGATCTTTTAATAACATAATCCTCTACTGACTGTTTAGAAGAGGAAAGGCCTGAAAGGTTATGTGGACACTGAAAAGATCAAATGTGTGGAGATTGTTTTACCAGAAGACAGCGCACCTCCTGACCGACTCTATCCATTTCAGGTGGGTCTCAGCAAAGAATAAGACATTAAAATCATACTTGTCCACCAACTTCAATGGGAACTCAACTTTGATCTTTTTGAACATTTCTAAACAATTTATTATGCATTGTTGGTGTACAGTATTTACAGTAATCATGTTACTTCCACTTCCCTCATTAATATATTGTACAGTACATCATCATGTCTATAGTTTTCAAGTTGAGCTGAAGTTAAGTCTGTGTCTCTGTATCTAAACTTAAAGTTTCAACATTAGCTGACTAGCAAGTATAGGCTAACAAGATCACTAGTAGAGATATGACCAATTGGGCTGATAGAGTGCAAGAAGAAACTGCTCAGGCTTTCAACCATGATAAGAGGCTGAGAGTAATGGAGCAGAAGTGAAACCTTTCCTCTTCAAAGTCTAAAATCAAAGGAACAACAAAACTCAACAGGTGCTGACATTGTAAAACTGTCAGGCAGATAAAAGCACTGTACATTGTTTTGTACACTGAGTTTTCCACACTAAGACCACTGTCAAAAAGAAAGGGTGACAGGAAATGAATGCGTCAAACAGTAACATCTTGTGGTTTTCAGTTTCTTAAACGATTAACTCTTAAAATTGTGAGCTATATGTATTTATATATCTTTATAAAACATTACTTGCAATGAAAATATGTAGGCTACAAATACTTTGCAACTTTCAAAAATAGCACTAAAAAGAAACTGAGTGCAATAATCTGTCCAGTAAACGAAACTTCAAAAGAAAGAGGAAACATTTGGCAATAGTAGATTATTTTGAAATGCAAAAGTTGATTCATCTATAGGCCAAAGTCATAATTTTGTATTGTGATGTATTTTTCTTCCCTCTCACAGATAATCTATGATGAAGGTCCTCTTTATGTATTTGCTAAGTCAGATCAAATTCGAAAGCAATGGATAAATGAGTTAAAAAATGGTCAGTATGTGTTTTAAGTCATTATCACAAATTCCATTCAAATTAACAAGCCACCTTGTTAATGTGGGCTAACATTATAGAAAAGATAAGAAGAAAAGTATGAATGCTTCCCATAACACACCATACAAGTTCTATGCAAAACTCTGTGTTGATTCAATGTAAATGACTTCCAATGTACCTGTCTTTAAGTGGTGCGATTCAACAAGGACCTTATACAGAAGTATCACCCGTGCTTCTGGGAAGATGGCATATGGAAGTGTTGCCAGCAGGAAGTGAAGCAGGCAATGGGCTGCAGGGTGCTGGAGACCAAAAATGGAGGTCTGTTATACTAAAGTGTGAAAATAAATTAGGTTCCGTTCATTTCCGTTCTCATTGGTTGAGTTTTCTGAAATGTCGTACGTACTCTCACATCTTTACCTGCAATTTTTGTTTAACGAAACATGCTACAGAATAGCCTATAGCTACAAAGAAAAACTTCTCAGCGTGACCAGTGTAGTCCGATTCCCAATGAATGACTCTTACAAGCCAGTTATTCTTAGTGAAGCTGTGGTCTAACTTTCGAACGCATGAGTCTAGTGAGCTGAAATGACGCGTATGAGTCGGTTCTTTTTAGCGACTCCAAAAAAATTACAGTGCAATCTGCGTAGCCCTATTCCTGGACTCTGAATACTTTCCGTACCCACTGTATATATATATATGTATGTATGCATGTTGAATTCCATTTTTTACATTGAAGTGAGCACTTCCGACCTGAATTAACTCTATATATTGATTTAATATACAATAGAATAAAGATGGTGGTTTTTTGGTGAGAGACTCTGGCAGATTCACTGGAAAATACACTGTCTCTGTGTTCACCAAGGCTGGTGGGTGAGTTTGATCAAGCTATACATTTGTTTCACAGTTAACTTATCAAAATGAAAGTGGAAAACTGACCCTGCGGAAGAGAGATGTAAATCTCTCTATGCAAAACTAGGATAAGTCCTATCAGGTCAAGTTTCCCACTGTGTAAATTGTCATGGGACTGTGTTGTTCGTCTCTCAAGTTTTTTGTGAGACCAATTGAAGATATGACTTGAAACCAAAGTGATTGTGAGAACTTAATTTCTTGTCTCTCTCCAGGGAGACTGCTGGCAGCTGCAGACACTACAACATATGCGTCACCACAGAAGGCCAGTTCTATTTAGCGGAGAAGCACAACTTCAGCAGTATCCCAGAACTTATTAATTACCACCAGCATAATGCAGCAGGTAAATCTCACCTTAACCACTTGCATGTGAATACACAATGTCAAATGATAGGTGTAACAGTTTTTAATCAAAGAAAATATGTTTCAGGTCTGGTGAGCAGACTAAAATACATTGTGTCAGATCGGGCTCGGAATGCTCCCTGCACTGCTGGTCTGGGTTATGGTGAGTTTATATTTGTTAGAGCACAGCACTAAGGACACCAAGGTCATGGGTTTGATTCCCAGGGAATGCATGAACTGATCAAATGCATAACTTGAACACAGTGGAAGTTGTTTTGTGATAAACGCACCTGCCAAATGCATAAATGTAAAAATTTTAATATTTGGCTGTATGCTTCTGACAGTTCTCACCTCAATGGGTTTGATTGAAACTGTGCTAAAATTGCCCTCTCCTCCTACTTTTCATTCCAGGAAGTTGGGAGATCGATCCTCGTCAGCTTACATTTATCAGAGAACTTGGTAATGGTCAGTTTGGAGTGGTAAAGTATGGGAAATGGCAAGGCCGTCATGACGTGGCCATCAAAATGGTTAAAGAGGGCTCAATGTCAGAGGATGACTTCATTGAAGAGGCCAAGGTCATGATGTGAGTATACACCATTGTTGAAAAAAAAAAGTATGGTGTCAGTAAGATTTTTTTCAGCAAGGATTTCACATAAATGCTGATCTTTTGAACTTTCAATTCATCAAATAATCCTGAAAAATTGAGCCATGGTTTCCACAAATTGAGTAGCACAACTTTTTTCAGCATTGATAATAAGAAGAAATGTTTCTTGGGCACCAAATTATTAGAATGATTAATATTAGAAGGATTTCTGAAAAACTCCTAAATGTATTAAAATACATTCAAACAGAAAAGTTAGCACATTGTAGTAATATTTCACAATATTACTCTGTTTTTACTGTATTTTTGATCTGTGTTTCAATCATGTTTATGTCTATAATCTATAATTTTCTGCTGTATAACGCTAGGAAACTGTGTCACGGAAACCTGGTGCAGCTCTATGGTGTCTGCACAAAACAAAGACCCATCTACATAGTCACAGAATATCTCGCCAATGGATGTCTGCTGAATTACTTACGGGATGTTCTGCAGCACCCCTCGAGTATTCTGCTCCTTGAGATGTGTAAAGATGTCAGCGAGGGCATGGCCTACTTAGAGGCCAATCAGTACATCCACAGAGACCTGGTTTGTGTGACACAAAAATGTGTCATTGCATGCCATTGTCATGTTCCTTGCCAACTGGAAGACATATTTTACCAGTAAAATGTCTCTTTTTTTTCTCATAGGCTGCCAGGAACTGTTTAGTAGACTCAAATGGAACCATTAAAGTGACTGATTTTGGATTGTCCAGGTAATTTTATGCATGGCCCAGAACACTATTTGAGCAACTTACTATACTATACACTGACTTACTATATAAAAATGACTGCTGTTCTTACAGGTATGTTCTCGATGATGAATACACCAGCTCCGTAGGTTCAAAGTTTCCAGTGCGCTGGTCGCCTCCTGAAGTCCTCCTTTACTGCAAGTTCAGCAGCAAGTCAGATATCTGGGCATTTGGTGCGTCACCACTGCATTTCCAGCAGAACTTTACCTTCTATCAAAATCATGGTTTAATTTTCTCTTATATTATTTGTCTGACAGGTGTTTTGATGTGGGAGGTGTACACTTTGGGCAGAATGCCATATGATCGGTGGAACAACACAGAGATAGTTGAGAAAATTACTGCAGGTCATCGGCTTTACCGCCCACAATTGGCCAATGACAAAGTTTATTCCATTATGAACAACTGTTGGCATGAGGTACACAGCTTTATACTATGTTGAAACATTTTGTCAATGTAGACATGACAAAAGTCAAATAATTAAAGAGTTTGCCTTCTCTCTCTCTTTTTTTTTTGTAGAGACCAGATGAGCGGCCCACATTCATGGATCTTGTCATGACCATCAAGGATTTGCTTTTCAATATGTAACAGACACAGCTACTGTGCATCCTTGGACATTAAGGATACAGCCCATCAGACGCAATAGTCTTGTGTATGGCATGGCAAGAATCATTATTATTATCAGTCTTGAATAACCTTCTTAATTTCTTTCATCTAAGGAACCCAATAAAATAATAAATTAGTATGAGTTTAAAATGTTACAAGAAAAAAAGGAGATTGGAATGTGATTTCTCATGTAACATTGCAGTTTTTACTTACATTTTCCTTAAAGCATGATATGTTGTGAAATTCCTAAGTTTCATACATGTATCTAAATAGCTGCTCTTTAATATTATTAAAATTATTCATAATAACCAGCAGCAACAACAATACAAATAAAAATTCATGACTGTAATTTACATGTACATATAAATAATGACTGTGTATTGATTTTTATTGATTTGGCTGTGTATTTATATACAATATATATATATATAAATAAGTCAACTTTAGTAAAACAAAGTACGATCTAGAAGAAATCTTCCAGTCTTGATGTGTAAATATATTTTTCTCTTCTGTGGTTTAAATTTGATGGCTATTTAATTAAAGACTACACTTTTTAATCTAGCTGTGTTTTGAATAAAATGAGAGCAGTTTCCAACATCCCTCTGGCTCCACTGATTTTTGTCACTCTCTTTTAAAACTACTTTAAAATTACATGCATTTGTCACCCTTAATGTCAGTAAACACTTGTTTGATTAACCAGCATTATTTTGATTTTGAAAAGTTCTCTAAAATAAATTAAAGTTCTCTAATTAAAAGTCTAAAATGGTCTCATCTGATTTCCTAGCCTGGTCCAAACTAATCTCAACACAATATTTCCATGTTACAAATGTATATCATCACATAAATGTTGTTGTTTAAATTACAAAATGCAGATTTTAAACAGCGGGAAAAAAATATTAAAATGAAACACTTGATGTTTACATACCTGAGGGCTTTCAACAGCAGCAATTTTACACAGTTCCACCAAATTCAATTTAAGCATGCACAAAAACTCAATTTAACTCCAAATTCAATTTAATCATGCACAAAAAACTAGAAAGTAGCATCTGTCTCAGAAGGGCTTCATATAAACAAAAGATAAATCCCCAAAAATGTCCAGACAATAGTAGCCTATCCTGACAATAATGTTTGAAGTTAATCAAGAGCATTTGGCAACCCGCGTTACAGTCACCAGGAAGTTTACTCACACGAGACTAAAACTCACCGAAGGACGATATGAATGCAAGGTTAGTCAGTTTAACAATTATTTATATTGCTAGTGTTTATATAATGTATACAATATAATGTATATTGCTAATGTAGTCTTAAATGCTAATGTAAATAATTGCCGAAACATGAAACATCACTACTTGCTAGAGTAAAATACATGAAAGCTTAGTGAGCCAATCAAAATCTATGTAAATCTTTTTGTAAAAAAAAATATATATATATATATATGCTGTGATTCTGTATTTCCTGTAGTTATAAATGCATAGCTTATATAGACAAATAGTCTACAGTAAAATATTGATTTGAAGAACTGGCTATGTGAATCACATGTTCTGGCTTGCTTCCTTTTCTATTCTGTGGCTGTTTTAAATCAGATAGTGCTGTCTACATAGATATCATGTTGAGGCATTGTAAGCTTACTCAGCTGTGCTTATGATGCCCAAAAAATGCCGTCTAGGTAGGCAGCTCACTAGGTTTTTAGACATAACCACTTGTGTCTAATGGACTTCTACCTGTATTCAGATGAATGCTGCAAACCGCTCTGACTTCTACATTGGTTTGGCACTTGCTGTAAGCTCGACAATCTTCATCGGTGGCAGTTTCATATTGAAAAAGAAAGGCCTCTTACGACTGGCCCAAAAGGGCTCTACTAGAGCAGGTGGGTTGATAAAATTGGCAGAGTAACCTACCATTGCACAATACTTTATTAGGCAGCATTTGAATTGCATAAATTTTTTTTATGCCTTTGACATTGTGACTGAATTTTTCTTGTGCTGTCTAATCAGGTCTGTTCTCTTCATTATTCAGGTCAAGGTGGATATGCATACCTGAAAGAATGGTTGTGGTGGGCAGGGCTTATATCAAGTATGACATTATCTATTTATTTGTAATTAGTGGGGCTGAATTATAAGGCATAACCAGAATACGGACATTAATCAGATGTGTAGGATGATTAATAGATCTTAGTAATGAAATATTGCCATTCACACCTGCATATGTCAATATGGACACTCTAATCACAATCTTTTGTCTTGTCATGTATTTTATTTTCAGTGGGAATAGGCGAGATAGCAAATTTCGCAGCATATGCATTTGCTCCTGCCACATTAGTAACACCTCTGGGAGCATTGAGCGTTTTGGTCAGGTACACTTAAAAGTTTGGTGTTACTTATTTGATCAAAAATACAGTCAAATTGTGAAATGTGACCATGGATCACAAAACCAGTCTTAATGGCCAATTTTTTGAAATTGAGATTTATATTGATGTATGGTTTGTTAGGATATGACAATATTTGGCCGAGATACAGCTATTTGAAAATCTGGAATCTGAGGGTGCAAAAAAAAAAACTAAATATTGAGAAAATCGCCTTTAAAGTTGTCCAAATGAAGTTCTTAGCAATGCATATTATTACTATTCAAAAAATTAAGATTTGATATATTATTTATGGTAGGAAATTTACAAAATATCTTCATGGAACATGATCTTTACTTAATATCATAATGATTTTTGGCATAAAAGAAAAATCAATCATTTTGACCTATACAATGTATTGTTGGCTGTTGCTACTTATGACTGGTTTTGTGGTCCAGGGTGACAAATATTATTACAATTCAAAATGACTGTTTTCTATTTTAATATTTTTTTTAATGTAATTTATTCCTTTGATGGAAAAGCTAAATTTTCAACAGCCATTACTCCAGTCTCAATGTCGCATGATCCTTTAGAAATCATTCAGATATGATTTGCTGCTCAAGAAATATGTCTTATTATTATCAATGTTGAAGTGTGATAGTTTTGTGGAAAATGTAATATTTTTCAGGATATAGAAATAGGAAGTAGAAAGTTAAAAATAACAGCATTTATTTGAAATAGAAATATTTTGTAACGTTATAAATGTCTTTACCATCACTTTTGATCAAATAAATAAATTCTTTGTCTAAAATGTGATTTTTGTCATTAGTGCTGTGCTTTCATCATACTTCCTGAGTGAGCGGCTGAATATCCACGGGAAAATTGGTTGTTTGCTGTGCATCTTCGGTTCCACTGTTATGGTGCTCCATGCTCCGCAAGAGGAAGAGGTTGCTTCTCTGACTGCAATGGCAGAGAAACTGAAAGATCCAGGTATTCTTCTACCTAATTTACAAACACACTAGGCATACTGTGAGCTCTGAGCTGTTTTTCATTATAGTCGTCTCTCTTGCATGTATCACAGGATTCATCGCTTTTGCTGTCTGCATTGTCGTCAGCAGCCTGGCCCTGATCTTCTTTGTCGCACCTCGCTATGGTCAGAAGAATGTGCTAGTGTACATCCTCATCTGCTCTGTGATTGGTTCGTTGTCTGTGTCGTGTGTGAAAGGCCTTGGCATTGGGATCAAAGAGCTGTTCGCTGGAACGGCCGTTCTGAAAGAGCCGCTGTTCTGGGCCCTTCTCATATGCCTTGTGATCTGCATCAGTATCCAGATAAGCTACCTTAATAAAGCCCTTGACATCTTCAACACTTCTATAGTTACACCTATTTACTATGTCTTCTTCACCACATCTGTCATGGCTTGTTCAGCCATCTTGTTTAAAGAGTGGCTTCAAATGTCTGCCGACGGGGCTGCTGGGACTGTTAGTGGCTTTCTTACCATCATCGTTGGCATTTTTCTTCTCCATGCGTTCAAGGATATCAACTTTAAGCTGGACTCTCTACCTTTATATCTGCACCATGGACCTCAAGACAGAACGTGGAACCAACCGTACATTGCTTTGCCAACTGATGAGAGAACTACTATGGATGAAAGCAATCGGACTAAAGAAAGAAATGCAAAGAGCTTTTTTCCTGAGAGTTCAGACAAAAGGAGCAACGGCACATTTAATACCTAGCATAATATCAGTAAAAACACATCATGCTTGTGGGCGACTACTAAAATACAGCTTTACTATTTGCTACTGTACATGCACACTTTGCAAAACAATACTGTGAGAGTACTTTAATTAGTATTTTATTTAGTATGGAAGGTACTTGTGTTATAGATTTCCCATCTATTTCTATTTCCATCTTTCAATCTGTTAGTTTTATGCTGGTGATATTTTCAAACTAACAATGCTGTGCCCAATCACTTGTAAATACAAAAATCCTGAAGTAGCAGCATAATGTTTAAAGACCTGCTTTACATCATCTTATTAAATGTTACATTATTTATTCTGACCAAACCTGCCTTGTTTAGGATGCACACAGGTTTACATTCATATAAAGCACCTTAAGTTTATTGTTAACATTTAAAGCTTCATCTGTTCAATAAAAGCATTAACTTTTTTAATACAGTGTGCTTGACTACTTATACTCTACCACTTAAAAGTTTTGATGTTTTTTAAGTAATTATGTTATGCTCTCCAAGTCTGCATTTATTTTATCAAAAATGCTGTCAAAATTGTAATATTGTGAAATATTATTACAAATTAAATTAACTGTTTTCTATTTCAGTCATTTTTAAAATGTAATTTATTCCTGTGATGGCAAAGCTGAATTTTCAGCAGTCATTACTCCAGTCTTCAGTGTCTCACAATCCCTCAGAAATGTGATGCTCAAGAAACATTTCTTATCATCATCAATGTTGAAAACAGTTGTGCTACTTAATATTTTTGTGGAAAATGTTTTCAAAATTATTTGATAAATAGAACAATCAAAAGAACAGCAAAAGTCACTTTTGATCAATTTAAATCTTACTGACCCCAAACTTTTCAACAGTAGTGTAGTCATCTTATACTAGTCTTAGGGAACACATCTTTATATCTACAAAAATCTTTTCTTAAGCAACAGCTAAACTTCTGAGGTGGTGCATTGTTTTCTATATATATCTGAAGTGCCTGGTCATTTTTTTTAAATAGCACACTGAAGATGTCTCATTAGTATTTAAGGAGTTTGAGTGTTATTTAACTTTTTCCTATGACATTTTATAAATCATATGATTGAACTGCAAGAGATATTTTATGATTTTATTTCAAGTCCATATTTCAAC